TAACATTCATTAATGTTCAGTAATGCTCTCTAATGTTCATTAATGCTCTCTAATGTTCATTAATGTTCAGTAACGCTCTCTAATGTTCATTAACGCTCTCTAATGTTCATAATGTTCAGTAACGCTCTCTAATGTTCATTAACGCTCTCTAATGTTCATAATGTTCAGTAACGCTCTCTAATGTTCAGTAATGTTCAGTAACGCTCTCTAATGTTCAGTAATGTTCATTAACGCTCTCTAATGTTCATTAATGTTCAGTAATGTTCAATAATGTTCATAATGTTCAGTAACGCTCTCTAATGTTCAGTAACGCTCTCTAATGTTCATTAATGTTCAGTAACGCTCTCTAATGTTCAGTAATGTTCAGTAACGCTCTCTAATGTTCAGTAACGCTCTCTAATGTTCAGCAATGTTCAGTAACGCTCTCTAATGTTCAGTAATGTTCATTAACGCTCTCTAATGTTCATTAATGTTCAGTAATGTTCAATAATGTTCATAATGTTCAGTAACGCTCTCTAATGTTCAGTAATGTTCATTAATGCTCTCTAATGTTCATTAATGTTCAGTAACGCTCTCTAATGTTCATTAACGCTCTCTAATGTTCATTAATGTTCAGTAATGTTCAATAATGTTCAAAATGTTCAGTAACGCTCTCTAATGTTCAGTAATGTTCAGTAACGCTCTCTAATGTTCAGTAATGTTCATTAACGCTCTCTAATGTTCATTAATGTTCAGTAATGTTCAATAATGTTCATAATGTTCAGTAACGCTCTCTAATGTTCAGTAACGCTCTCTAATGTTCAGTAATGTTCAGTAACGCTCTCTAATGTTCAGTAACGCTCTCTAATGTTCAGTAATGTTCAGTAACGCTCTCTAATGTTCATTAATGTTCACTAACGCTCTCTAACGTTCATTTATGTTCAGTAATGTTCAGTCACGCTCTCAAATGTTCATAATGTTCAGTAACGCTCTCTAATGTTCAGTAATGTTCAGTCACGCTCTCAAATGTTCATTAATGTTCAGTAATGTTCAATAATGTTCAGTAATGTTCAGTCACGCTCTCAAATGTTCAGTAACGCTCTCTAATGTTCAGTAATGTTCATTAACGCTCTCTAATGTTCAGTAATGTTCAATAATGTTCAGTAATGTTCAGTCACGCTCTCAAATGTTCATAATGTTCAGTAACGCTCTCTAATGTTCAGTAATGTTCAGTAACGCTCTCTAATGTTCATTAATGTTCAGTAATGTTCAATAATGTTCAGTAATGTTCAGTCACGCTCTCAAATGTTCATAATGTTCAGTAACGCTCTCAAATGTTCAGTAACGCTCTCTAATGTTCAGTAACGCTCTCTAATTTTCATTAATGTTCAGTAACGCTCTCTAATGTTCAGTAACACTCTAAGGTTCAGTAACGCTCTCCAATGTTCATTAATGTTCACTAACATTCATTAATGTTCAGTAACGCTCTCTAATGTTCATTAATGTTCACTAACATTCATTAATGTTCACTAACATTCATTAATGTTCAGTAACACTCTCTAATGTTCAGTAATGCTCTCTAATGTTCAGTAATTTTCACTAACATTCATTAATGTTCAGTAACGCTCTCTAATGTTCATTAATGTTCACTTACATTCATTAATGTTCAGTAACACTCTCTAATGTTCATTAATGTTCAGTAACGTTCATTAATGTTCAGTAATGCTCTCTAATGTTCAGTAATGCTCTCCAATGTTCATTAATGTTCACTAACATTCATTAATGTTCAGTAACGCTCTCTAATGTTCATTAATGTTCACTAACATTCATTAATGTTCAGTAACGCTCTCTAATGTTCATTAATGTTCAGTAACGTTCATTAATGTTCAGTAACGCTCTCTAATGTTCATTAATGTTCAGTAATGCTCTCTAATGTTCATTAACACTCTAATGTTCATTAATGTTCGGTAAAGCTCTCTAATGTTCATTAACACTCTCTAATGTTCATTAATGTTCAGTAAAGCTCTCTAATGTTCATTAACGCTCTCTAATGTTCATTAATGTTCAGTAATGTTCAATAATGTTCAGTAATGTTCAGTCACGCTCTCAAATGTTCATAATCTTCAGTAACGCTCTCTAATGTTCATTAATGTTCACTAACGCTCTCTAATTTTCATTAATGTTCAGTAACGCTCTCTAATGTTCAGTATTGTTCAGTAACGCTCTCTAATGTTCAGTAACGCTCTCTAATGTTCAGTAATGCTCTCTAATGTTCATTAATGTTCAGTAACGTTCATTAATGTTCAGTAACACTCTCTAATGTTCATCAATGTTCGGTAATGCTCTAATGTTCATTAATGTTCAGTAACGCTCTCTAATGTTCAATAATGTTCGGTAAAGCTCTATAATGTTCAGTAATGTTCAGTAAAGCTCTCTAATGTTCATTAATGTTCTGTAATGCTCTCTTATGTTCATCAATGTTCGGTAACACTCTCTAATGTTCATTAATGTTCAGTAATGCTCAGTAATGTCCACTAATGCTCACTAAGGTTTAGACAATGATCAGGAGTGTCAACTGTTAATGTGTGATATGTTGTGGACTGGAAAAAGGACACTAACCGATAAAGACGAAGATCTGGTGATGAGAGTATCTGAGCAGCATGGACACTGACAGAGTCTGAAACACACACATCAGCAAACATCAGCACTGAACAATCAATAATCATTACACTATATTCACTGGTATATCTAATAATCTGTCTATCCCATGATATATCGTTATATATTTTGCATCTTAAAGTTGTTTTATATTAATCTCTAGATGGCGCTGTTTGGAGCAAACCGCTTAGTTGTGCACCGAGGCCTCCCACTTCTCTTTCTATTCTGGTTAGAGCCCGTTTGTACTGTTCTCTGAAGGTAGTAGTATACACCGTTGTAGGAAATCTTCAGTGTCTTGGCAATTTCTCGCATGGAATAGCCTTCATTTCTCAGAACAAGAATAGACTGTTGAGTTTCAGAAGAAAGTTCTCTTTTTCTGGCCATTTTAAGAGTATAATCGAACCCACAAATGCTGATGCTCCAGATACTCAACTAGCTCAAAGGAAGACCAGTTTTATAGCTTCTCTAACCAGCACAAAAGTTTTCAGCTGTGCTAACATAATTGCACAAGGGTTTTGTAATCATCAATTAGCCTTTTAACATGATTAGCCAACACAATGTACCATTAGAACACAGGAGTGATGGTTGCTGGAAATGGGCCTCTGTACACCTATGTAGATATTCCATTAAAAATCCGCCATTTCCAGCTAGAATAGTCATTTACCACATTAACAATGTCTAGACTGTATTTCGGATTAATTTAATGTTATCTTCATTGAAAAAAACAGTGCTTTTCTTTAAAAAATTAGGACATTTCTAAGTGACCCCAAACTTTTGAACGGTAGTGTATATGTTGATCACCGTGTTATTATTGACGAAGAACATCACTGTACTCTTCATCAGGCAGTGTGATGGTCATCTCTAGCACATCAGGAGGCAGCAGCGTTAGGTTCTATATGTTTATAAAGTGATGTTTCTGTTTTTTAAATGTCCCCCTCTGGTGGACAGAAGACTTCCTACAACTGAACCAATCATTCCTCTGATTGATGGCTGATTGATTGATTGATGACTGCAGACAGGTGTGCTCACCATCCAACCTGCCTGCCCCTCCTCCTCAGAATGAACCACAGCTTTGGATGGATAATAAAACACGGTCTCTGTAGTTTGAGAAGCTCAGGTGGTGAGAGAAGCTAAAGGAAATTTTAATAGTTCCATGAGCTACATGCCTTCCTGCCCTCCCTCATTACATGGTGCTCTGATCTCTACCAGACCAGATCTCAGGATGGTAAAAACCGAATTGGGAATACTAGATTTTAGTTACTGAGCCTGGGATTCAAAGATTGTTAACTCAGACTGTGGGGCTGCTGGTATTGTCCTCTCATAGGAGGACCACTGATCTATATAATACAATATTATTAGCGGGTCATCCACTAATCGGAAGGTTGTTGGTTCAATCCCCGGCTCCTCCCGCCACATGTCGAAGTATCCTTGAGCAAGATACTGAACCCCAAATTGCCCCCAAAAGTGCTATTAATTGAATAAAAAGGGGGTAGTTTTAATGAAACAAGACAATATAACAAAATAGTATAATAATCTTGTGTAGGAGGATGACCAACATCTTCTAACATGAACGTGTTGTAATTGATACGTTCCAATCACCGGTTGGTGTATTCTGCTGCTTTATGAGTGTTTACTCTACGCATTACATGATTGTTGATGGTTAATATATATTTTATTATTACTGTGGGTTTTCCCTGTCTAAATAAAGCTGTAATAAATAAAGCATTTTCTTTTTAATAAACAAAACTTCCAAGTTCAGACTTTCTGACTTTGGTTTATTTACAAGCTGAGTTTCATCGTCTCGTCTCCAGCTGATCGATTTGGACTCTTTACTTACGAAGATGACCATGATGACGAAGGCGGCCAGGTAGGAGGTTCTGGCCATCCACATGCTGACAAAGCGGTAATGTTCTCCAGACACCACGTTCCTCAGGAACCCTGCAGAGAACCATGCCATGACATCATCAACCTGAACTTCACACACAGGTTACAGCGGTACTGTGGTCATATAGATGCCATTGTCCTGCTTGACTGCCATCGCTAATATATATTATATAATATATTGTCCCCCCATCGTTGTTGTTGTCATCATCTTCTTCATCAGTCACTACTATTAGTGTAGTTTTTGCTACTGTTGTTGCTGTGCACCTGTCTGTCTGTCTGTCTGTCTGTCTCTCTCTCTCTCTCTCTCTCTCCCCACCCACCTAGAGCCGAAGGGTCTGTCCTAGGTTTCTGCCTCTTAACAGGCAGTTTTTCCTCGCCCCCATCGCCAAGTGCTTGCTCATGGTGGTACTGTTGGGTCTCTGTAAATGTTATAAGGAGTTACCTGCTCTATTTGAAAAGTGTCCTGAGATAACTTCTGTTATGAATTGGTGCTATACAAATAGACTGAATTGAACTGAATTGAACTGAATTAAATTTAATATGACCTACTTAACCAGCAACCTGGTTCTGTAACCAGGGATCATAGGAACCAGGTTCTGTAACCAGGGATCAGAGGAGATCAGAGGAACGTGGGGCTGTAGAGGGACACAGTTTCTCTACCTTTGTTCTCCTCATTCTCAGCAAGAGCTTTCACACTGGACATCAGGATGTCGTCATAACCCAGAAACTCATCCAGCAGGAAGCGACTGAAACCATCACCGAAACACTCGTCCTTCATCGGATCTACAGACAGAGAGCGACAGACAGGTTTCATCATCATCATAAAGCCACTATGCCAGAAAGCCACGGCGTCACAAAGCAGACAGACAGATGTCAGTGTCTCACCTAGAGTGACCACCATGACGGGGATGTTGAGTCTCTGTCTGGTGCTCTGAGACAGACGCAGGAAGCCGTACTCCAAAGAATACTCCACAATGTACTCCTCCTGAGGCCACACTGTCAACAACAACAACAACAACAGAGTTTAAGACAGACAACTGCATCAACAACGACTGCAACAACATTATTTCCTATTAAAGACGTACTTTATTTACACAGCCCGTTTACAAACATTAAATGTATCATTATTATTATTATTACTGGTTGTTATTATTATTATTATTATTATTACTAGATATTATTATTATTATTACTGGTTATTATTATTATTATTGATTATTATTATTAGTATTATTATTATTATCAATTATTATTATTACTTATTATTATTATTATTATTATTATTATTAGGGACCAAGCCAGCGACCACTGGGAGGCCCTATTGTATCTCTAGGAATTATCATTATTTGCTGCACAAAATTAAAACGTGGCAAAAACTCATGTATGCAACTGCTCCCATGAGCGGGCAGCGCCGCCGAATCAGCCCCTAAGACGCGTAAGGCTGACATGTATGAAAATCGGTAGGCATGGGTATCGTGATAAAAAAAAGCCTTATATGTTTGATCCAGCCCTGAACACGTCTATGTGATAATATTCAGTAATAGTGAGAAAGACACCTAGTGGCAACAGGAAGTATCACGTTTTATACCCCCCACAAACTTGCAAAAAACCAGCCCTGGTGTCCTGTTTAGGGGACATGAATGAAAACTGACAGGCATATATATCAAGTTAGGATGTACAAAATAGCCTCTTGGACCCATAACCCAAACACAACAGGAAGGTAGCTATTTTGAGTTTTCATTTTCACTTTCGGCGGCCATTTTGATTTTCATTTTCACTTTTGGCAAATGCGTGGATTGCGAGGGCCCGCCCAATGCTGCTTGCATCTTTAATTAGGGACCGAGCCAGCGACCGCTGGAGGTCCCTATTGTTTTTACTCAATTTCTTACCTATTATTATTATGTTTAGGCCACTTCCACTGTGTTTTTGCCCCCCTGAACATATACGAAAACTCAATTTTATTTGGCAAAGTGGTCAGGCCTGGTGAAAAATGTTACATTCTATGCGTCACTTTCAGGTCGGCCGCTAGGGGCGCTATTATCCTGAAAAGTGTGTACAGGCTAATAACTTCTGCATAGTTTGTCGCACATTCAAAAACCTTGTATCCACGCGTTCGGTGAATGGAGCCGCCCACTTCCACCTATAATTTTTTTTCGTTAGAGCACGAAATGTCCTTAAACTACTTTTTTGTGTTCCTCCTACATGCTTTGTCCGAGTCGTACAAAATTTTTCACCTATTACTTGGGGTCTGCCCTGGCAAAAAAAGTAATTCGAACATTTTTGAAATTTAAAAAAATAAGCACGCTATAAAATTAACACTTCCTGTACATTTTTCGTTAAAAAAGGCAGTGGACCATTTCTCCACATTGGTATGTCCTATTGACACCAAGCTTGGGTCCATAGTTCCTCATGTCTTCCTTGGGCACCGTGCACAATTTCAGGCCATTGCCACTAGGTGGCGCTCTTTAAAATGAAGAAGTTTATATCTCTGCAACAGCACGTGTGATTTAAATGAAACTTGGTAGGATGCTTGCCCATGGCTCCCTGAGGCTCACCTCAAAAGGAAAAAAAAATCACACCACTGGGTGGCGCTCTGGTGGCAGTGTGTATCACTGTGCGGAGACTGTAATAGTTATGAATATGAAATTCACAGGGCATGTGTAGAGTGGTGCCTGAAGCTCACATACCAAAAATCGTGTTTGTCGTGTGTGTGTAGTGCCCCCTACAGGATTTTAAAAATGCAGCCCCGGGGCCAAGTTTCACCGATATGTATGAAACTCGGTAGGCACATGTAACATGCCAGGACGTACAAAAAAGCCTCTTGGACCCATACCCCAAACCCCACAGGAAGTTGGCCATTTGGATTTTGATTTTGACTTTCAGCAAACTTTTCGCATTGTATTTGAACAAACTCCTCCTAGGGAATTCATTGCATCTGCTTAAAAATGTGTGAGTACAGTCAAAAAGTGGTGCTGATTAAAACTTGTGCTATTTGAGAATGTACGTTGAACGTGAGCGTGTCTGTGGCGTGAGGTCAAAGTTGGCCATTTTGAATTCTGTGGTCATACAAACTGATTGAAAAGTTGAGCTATTTGTGACTGTACATTAAACCGTGTGCCAGTGACAACTTGTCGATTTCAGCAGATTCGCCATAAAATAGTACTCATAACTTCAGTGTGCACTGTCCAATCTCCAATAAACTTCATATATTCTGAAACAGTTTTGCCCTGAACACGTCCTCATAACTTCAGCGTACACGGTCCAATCTCAATGAAACTTCACGTGTTTGATAACAGTCTCGCCTTGAACACATCTACATGACAACATTCAGACATAGTGATAGCGCCACTTACTGGCAACAGGAAGTAATCGCTGCGTGGCGATTTTGAGCTAATTTACGGGAGATTTTCATGTTGTGGTCTCCCCGAGTTGTGAGTGCGAGATCCCGCCCAACGCTGCTTGCAGCTTTAATTATTATTATTATTTTTATTATTATTACTACTGGTTATTATTATTATTTAATAAAATAACAAACTGCAGATTACTGACAGATCTAATAACGGACAATTATTAATAGTTTGAATTAGATTAATAAGACTAATTGTTTTAATTTTAACTGATTAAAGACAAACAGAAGAACATAAGTTTACATCAGCAGCTGTTTGTCTCCTGGAGGAGGAAGATGAGGAAGAAGAAGAGGAGGAGTGGGAGGAGGAGGAGGAAGATGAAGAGGAGGAGGAAGAGGAAGAGAAAGAGGAAGAAGTAGGAAGAGGAAGAGTAGGAGGAGGAAGAGGAGAAGTAGGAGGGGGAAGAGGAAAAGGAAGAGGAGGAGGAAGAGGAAGAAGTAGGAAGAGGAAGAGGAGAAGTAGGAGGAAGAAGAGGAAGAGGAGGAAAAGGAAGAGGAGAAGTAGTAGAAGGATGAAGAGAAGGAAGAGGAAGAAGAGGAGGAGGAGGATGAGGAAGAGGAAGCGGAGAAGGAGAAGGAAGAGGAGGGTTTACCTGCTCTGGTCATCATCTCCAGCTCAGACACTGAGTCCTTCAGCGGCTGCATACCTTTAGTGGTCTGGCTGAAGGAGACGTCCTGGCTGTCGTTCACTCCTCCTCCTCCTCCTCCTCCTCCTCCTCCTCCTCCACTGACACTTCCTCCAATTAGAGACGGCTTCAGACGAGGCTCAATGTCCAGCTCAAACTGCAGGAGAGACCGAGAGACGCTGAAGACAGACCCCCACTGACGACTGCTGATCCCTACTGACTCTTATTGACCCCTACTGACCCCTTCTAATCCCTACTGACTCTTATTGACCCCTACTGACCCCTTCTAATCCCTACAAACCCCTTCTGATCCCTACAGACTCCTACTGACCCCTACTGACTCCTACTGACCCCTACTGACTCTTACTGACCCCTTCTGATCCCTACTGACTCTTAATGACCTCTACTGACCCCTTCTGATCCCTACTGACTCTTATTGACCCCTACTGACCCCTTCTAATCCCTACAAACCCCTTCTGATCCCTACAGACTCCTACTGACCCCTACTGACCCCTACTGACTCTTACTGACCCCTTCTGACCCCTACTGACTCTTACTGACCCCTTCAGACCCCTACTGACTCCTACTGACTCCTACTGATCCCTACTGACTCTTACTGACCCCTACTGACCCCTTCTAATCCCTACAAACCCCTACTGACCCCTTCGGAACCCTGCTGACTCTTACTGACCTCTTCTGATCCCTACAGAACCCTAAAAACCCTTACTGACCCCAGTTGATCCCTACTGACCCCTACTGACTCCTGTTGACTGTGGAGATAATTTAACCAGTTTTGTCTCTGCTCACCTGCACTGAGCTGTTGTCAAACATCTCCAGGGTCATCTCTTCCTCATCCTCATCTTCCTCCTGCAGCGCTGCCAGGCTGAGTCCTGCCATTCCGCTTCCTGCTCCTCCTCCCCCCTCCTCAGCCTCCAGCTCCTCCTGGAGGCCTGTGGAGTCGTAGTACTGCAGGAAGACGGAGGCTCGACTGGAGTTCCTCTGGATCTCCACCCGCAGGATGCCGTCACGAGGCCAGCGCTCCCTCACAACTTCCAGACAGTTGATGGGCGAGCGAGAGAAGGCAATGTGGATGTAGGCGAGGATGAAGAGGACGAAGAGCGCCTGAGCAGGAGCACAGAGGAGTTAATGCTGTCAGGGTTTGTAGAGTACTATTCCTTTATAGTGTTCTGACAACTTCAGCCTCCTTTACTACAACTCTGCTGTCTTTACTACGAATCAGCTGTCTTTACTACGACTCTGCTGTCTTCACTACGACTCTGCTGTCTTCACTACGACTCTGCTGTCTTTACTGTGACTCTGCTGTCTTTACTGCGACTCTGCTGTCTTTACTATGACTCTGCTGTCTTTACTGCGACTCTGCTGTCTTTACTGCGACTCTGCTGTCTTTACTACGAATCAGCTGTCTTTACTACGACTCTGCTGTCTTCACTACGACTCTGCTGTCTTTACTATGACTCTGCTGTCTTTACTGCAACTCTGCTGTCTTTACTGCGACTCTGCTGTCTTTACTGCGACTCTGCACTCTGGCTGTTGTGTGTTTCTGGTGGAAGGCCTGGAGGTATAATACGTCTGCTTCATTTACAGGAACATTGTGTTGTTTTCCAGACAGATTACTTATTCAACATTACCATTAAAATAAGAGACAGACAGACAGACAGACAGACAGAGAAAGACAGACAGAGAGAGACACAGAGAGAGGGACAGACAGGCAGGGTTTACCTGCAGACACTGTCTCACCTTCAGCAGGACGAAGAACTCAAAGACTCTCCTGAAGGATGGCGGGAAGAGTCGGGCATACGTGACGGCCATCTTGAAGAAGAGGGCGTGGAAGAGGCGGTCCCGGACATTGATGAGGGGATTCTGGTTCATGTTGGGGTTTCGGATCCTGTTGGGTCCCATGTTGTTGTTGTTGTTGTTTAGAGGGACGTTGTTATTGTTGGCCTGGTTCTCAGACATGGTCTCTGATTATTGCGCTCACACAGACTAATAGATGGTTCTAGGTCAGCATGGCGGCCGGCAGTCTCAGTTAAGGTGGAACTCTGACCTCAGATCAGAGTCTGAAGGGTCCTCAGCCGGTTCACACAGCTCAAACTGTGGGACAGAAACATTGATTATTGATCATGAAGTGAGCTTATAAAGCAGGAGTTCAACAACCACCTCAGTCAGAGTTAGGGTTAGTCTAATCTTTACTTTTCTCTTGTGCAACAACACTGCAGTCTGACCCTAGAGCTGCTCTCAGGTCAGTGCAGGGACAGATATTACCAATGTGCACTAGGGTTGGGCGATATGGGCAAAAAGTAATATCTCAATATTTTGGGGGATTTTGGCGATAACGATAATCAGTCGATATCCTTTAAAATGTGATTGGAATTGTCTGAGTTCGGGCTTGTGTCAACCAAACGTGTTTTTAGCACTGAGAGCGCCCAAAAACTCATTTTCCGAGCGCCCAGCGGTGTTTAATCGAACAGATTTCAACTTGAAGCGCTCTGAGCGCTGCGCTAAAAAAACGTCTCCGCTGACATCTTTTTACCGCTGAAGGCGCTTAGCGCTCTGAATGCTGAGTTGGGACCAGGAAGCAGAGCTGCTGTCTTACACACTTCTCTGCGCTTTCTTTAGAACAGTCACCCACCCAAAACCCCATAGAGACTGTGTCTGTCCCCCGACCACCTAAATTATTTAAAATTATAAAAACAAGAGGAGTTCAACATAAAAATCTACTAAAAATTAAAACCTCCTCCTCAGTAGCACAAAATAAGAGAATGAAATGTGGGCTGTTAAATATCAGGTCTCTGTCCTCTAAAGCTGTTTTAGTGAATGAGTTAATATCAGATTATGATATTGATTTACTTTGTCTTACTGAGACCTGGTTGTCCCACGAGGAGTATGTTAGCCTAAATGAATCCACCCCCCCCAGTCATATTAATACTCACATTCCTCGAGGCACTGGCCGAGGAGGTGGAGTAGCAGCCATATATGATTTGAGCGTTTTAACCCTTTAGGCGCCGGGTTTTATTTTTTAAAATTCTAGATTTTGACATCTAAATTTCAGAGGGCTCTGGCTTGAAAGTGGTTTGAGATAGAGACAAAGTGTAAATGAGACAAATATTGAGAATGACCTAAAGTTTATCTAGGGAGTAAATTTTACTGTCTAATTTGCATATTATGATGTCATATGACGGCGGCTGTATTAGATTATGTAATTTTCATGAAATACCTGATATTTTGAAAGAGAGTTGAACTTATTTCATCAGATTCACCCCCCTCCATCTATTTGTTATGTTGTCCCAAACCAAATGAACAAGGAAAAAGTAAATTGTAAGCCAACAGTCGTAAACTAGAACTATTACTACACCACAAAACTCATGTAAACAGTAGGCGTTTTTATGATTTTTTTTTTGTGCCTACAGAGGCCTAATGTGTGCCTATCTATCCAGATGACACTGTTTAGAGTGTGGAACCTCTCATTACATGGCACAGCACACAGGCCTACCCCACACTGATTGCACCTGTATTGTGTCTGATGACGACCTTTAGGACAGGTACGATCGGAGCAAACTATACAGTCTGGACTAGGGATGCACCAATCCACATTTTTTTCACTTCCGATCCGATCCGATCCCGATACCTGAATTTGGATATCGGCCGATACCGATACTATTCCGATACCAGAGCTCTGTTTTCTTTAATATTATTATTATCATTATTGTTGATTTTATATGAGATAATATGAATAAACTCCTCAACATATGTACGTATGTATGCATGTATGTCCCAAAAGGCAACTTGAGGTAAGTATAAGGTCAGAAAAGGAAGTCCGAAAAACAGAAAATCCTTTTAACAGGAAAAATCCCATTCTGAAAACAAATATGCTACTGTAAGGGTTTCAAATTTATTGTCATGTCAATATTTATTAAATTCCCCAAATGTCAAATATTTGAGTCTTGAAATATAAGAAAAGTGCAATAAGTGTAAACATCTTACACACACACTATCAATAAAACTGTGCATCTGAACAGCACAAATCAAGTACACTGGCTCCTTCCCCGTACTTTTTCTCTCTTGGAGAAGCCCTCAAGCAAAGCAGTGATAATGTCCTGCACAAAGGCCTTCAGTGGCTTGTGTGGACCGGCAGTTCATGAGAGCCTAAATACTGATGAGCATACCGATTTGTCTCCATTGTAATGTGACTCCAGAAATCATCAGTCAGAAAGAGGGACAAAAAATCTATAGGCCTTGAATCAGTGCTAAGCTCTCTGTCACCACGATATCCAACTTGCTCATCAAAGGACTTTATCCATTCCTGATATACTTCCTCATCTCTCAAGTTAGCCCAGCCACCATTACCATCATCATCGTCATCATTTCCAGCCTTGTTCTGCCTTCCCCTGTTGCCTCTACCACGTCCACCTCTCCTATGGACACTGCAACTTCATGTACCCCTGCCCCCCCTTCCATTTTGCAAAGGGTTGAAAGACTCATCATCACTACTTTCAGCCCTATTCAGACCCCCCCTGCTGCCTCTACGACACCCACCAGCCCTTCTACGAACACTTCGGCCCCTGCTATCCCCACTAGTGTTGGGAGAAGAGTTGGACTCGTGTGTGTTTTGTGCTTGGTGAACACTGCTGCGTCATGCCAGGGCAAGAATGGCGGCGCATGCGTGATTCATTTGCAGCCTGGACGCGGAGTGGTGTGTGTCTCCTCTCTGCTCTGTCTGCAGGCTGGGACTGCTGCGCGGGGCTACTGTGAGACTGACCGACTGTGAGTGCTTTTGGACGGGGGAGGGACTCACGGCAGCACCCGCTGCTCGTTGAGCACACTGCAGAGTGATACGTGCTTTCACGTCAGAGTCTCCAAAACCTACAAAAGTCTCCAATAAGACCAATAAAAGTCGCTATATTTGACGCTAGTCGCTTTTGACAAAAAAGCCAAGTTTGGATGTGATTTCCTCGAACATTTTGCATTGCAGCATGACGTTTTTCTGAGCTAAGGTCTAAGTACAGGATGTCTGCCAACTAGTGGAGGGGAGTTTGAATGAGATATAACACTCTATTAGGAGAAAACAGCGGTTTGATTCAGTACCGCGTCCTGTCGCAATCTTTCGATAGTGCTACAGGCTCACTACGATCAACATTAGAGAGTCTAATGTTGATCGTAGTGAGCCTGTAGCACTATAAAAAGGAAATTATTAAAACATAGGAGACTAGCACCGTGGTACAACCACCAAACCCGCCAGTTAAAACAAATAGCTAGAAAATCTGAAAGGAAATGGCGCTCTTCCAAATTATCAGAATATCACTCAATTTGGCAAGATAACCTTAAAATTTATAGAAAGGCCCTCCGTAATGCCAGAGGAGCCTATTACTCAGCACTAATAGAAGATAATAAGAACAACCCTAGGTTCCTCTTCAGCACTGTAGCCAGGCTGACAGAGAGCCACAGCTCTATCGAGCCACATATCCCCATAAACTTAAGTAGCAATGACTTCATGAGCTTCTTTTATAATAAAATCATTACTATTAGAGAGAAAATTAATCACCAACTGCCATCAACAGTTATCAGTGGCTCTCCAAGTTCAGGGACTTCTGCCAATGTAAACTTAGATATATATCTAGACTGGTTTTCTGCTATCGATCTTCATCAGTTAACTTCAATCATTTCTTCATCGAAGCCATCAACCTGTCTGTTAGACCCGATCCCAACTAGGCTGCTTAAAGAAGTTGTTCCCTTAATTGGCACTTCTTTACTGGATATGATTAATCTTTCTTTATTATCAGGATATGTACCACAGTCCTTTAAAGTAGCTGTAATTAAACCCCTTCTTAAAAAGCCCACTCTTGACCCAGGGGTTTTAGCCAACTATAGACCGATTTCTAACCTCCCCTTCCTCTCTAAGATTCTGGAGAAAGTAGTTGCCAAACAGTTGTGTGACTTTATATATAACAATAGTTTATTTGAGGATTTCAGGATTTAGAGTTCATCATAGCACAGAGACAGCTCTGGTTAAAGTTAATAATGACCTTCTGATTGCTTCTGACAATGGACTTGTCTCTGTACTTGTATTATTAGATCTTAGTGCTGCATTTGACACCATTGACCATAATATTCTTTTACAGAGACTTGAGCAAATTGGCATTAAAGGAACCGCACTAAGCTGGTTTAAGTCATATTTATCAGATTGCTCGCAGTTTGTACATGTTAACGATGAATCTTCAATAAATACTAAAGTTAGTCATGGAGTTCCACAAGGTTCTGTACTTGGACCAATACTATTTACTTTATATATGCTCCCTTTAGGCAACATTATTAGGAATCACTCCATTAACTTTCATTGTTATGCAGATGATACGCAGTTATATCTATCAATCAAACCCAATGAAATTAATCAATTATCTAAATTACAAACATGTCTTAAGGACATAAAATCCTGGATGACCTGCAATTTTCTGATGTTAAACTCAGAAGAAAACTAAATTCTTGTTCTTGGCCCCAAAAACCTTAGAGACTCACTGTTTAAAGATATAGTTACTCTAGATGGCATTAACTTGGCCTCTAGCACCACTGTCAGGAATCTTGGAGTTATCTTTGATCAGGATTTGTCATTTAACTCCCACATAAAGCAGACCTCTAGGACCGCCTTCTTTCATTTACGTAATATTAGAAAAATTAGACACATCCTATCACAGACAGATGCAGAAAAACTAATCCATGCATTTGTTACTTCAAGGCTGGATTACTGCAACTCTTTATTATCAGGTTGCCCCAATAAGTCCATTAAAAACGCTCCAATTAATTCAGAACGCTGCAGCACGAGTACTGACAGGAACTAGAAAAGAAATCACATCTCTCCTGTACTAGCTTCTCTGCACTGGCTCCCTGTAAAATGTAGAATAGAATTTAAAATCCTCCTCCTCACCTATAAAGCTCTTCATGGTCAGGCCCCTTCATATCTTAAATTCAATTCAATTCAATTTTATTTGTATAGCGCCAATTCATAACAGAAGTTATCTCAGGACACTTTTCAAATAGAGCAGGTCTAGACCGAACTCTTCAACATTAATTACAGAGACCCAACAGTACCACCATGAGCAAGCACTTGGTGACAAGGGCAAGGAAAAACTGCCTGTTAAAGGCAGAAACCTAGGACAGATCCTCCGGCTCTAGGTGGGTGGTCGTCTGTCTCGACCAGTTGGGGTGAGAGAGAGAGACAGAGAGAGAGAGAGAGAGAGAGACAGACAGACAGACAGACAGGTGCACAGCAACAACAGTATTGGCAATGGCAGTCAAGCAGGAGGCTCCACCAGGATCCATGAGAACCCTATTACCCCACTAGAACACTACGTTCTCTGAATGCTGGGCTACTTGTGGTTCCTATAGTCTCTAAAAGTAGAACAGGAGCCAGAGCCTTCAGTTACCAAGCTCCTCTCCTGTGGAACCAGCTTCCAGTTGTGGTTCGGGAGGCAGACACCCTCACCACATTCAAGAGTAGGCTTAAGACATTCCTCTTTGATAAAGCTTATAGTTAGGGCTGGATCAGGTGAGTCCTGAACCATCCCTTAGTTATGCTGCTATAGGCCTAGACTATCGGGGGATTTCCCATGGTGCACTGAGCTCCTCTCTTCCTCTCTTTCTGCTAGATTGCCATTGCCAATACTGTCTGTTTGTCTCTCTGTCTCTCTCTCTCTCTCTCTGTCTCTCTGTCTCACCCCAACTGGTCGAGACAGACGACCACCCACCTAGAGCCGGAGGATCTGTCCTAGGTTTCTGCCTTTTAACAGGCAGTTTTTCCTTGCCCTTGTCTCCAAGGTCTTGCTCATGGTGGTACTGTTGGGTCTCTGTAATTAATGTTATAAAGAGTTCGGTCTAGACCTGCTCTATTTGAAAAGTGTCCTGAGATAACTTCTGTTATGAATTGGCGCTATACAAATAAAATTTAATTGAATTGAATTGTATTAGTACATACACTGTGTATTAGTACACACACTGTGTATTAGTACTGTGTATTAGTACATACACTGTGTATTAGTACACACACTGTGTATTAGTACTGTGTATTAGTACACACACTGTGTATTAGTACTGTGTATTAGTACATACACAGTGTATTAGTACATACACAGTGTATTAGTACACACACTGTGTATTAGTAGTGTGTATTAGTAGTGTGTATTAGTACACACTGTGTATTAGTACTGTGTATTAATACATACACTGTATTAGTACTGTGTATTAGTACACAGTGTGTATTAGTACACAGTGTGTATAAGTACTGTGTATTAGTACACACACTGTGTATTAGTACACACACTGTGTATTAGTTCTGTGTATTAGTACACATACTGTGTATTAGTACATACACTGTGTATTAGTACTGTGTATTAGTACACACACTGTGTATTAGTACACACACTGTGTATTAGTACACACACTGTGTATTAGTACTGTGTATTAGTACACACACTGTGTATTAGTACTGTGTATTAGTACACACACTGTGTATTAGTACACACACTGTGTATTAGTACTGTGTATTAGTACACACACTGTGTATTAGTACACACACTGTGTATTAGTTCTGTGTATTAGTACACACACTGTGTATTAGTACACACACTGTGTATTAGTTCTGTGTATTAGTACACACACTGTGTATTAGTACACACACTGTGTATTAGTTCTGTGTATTAGTACACACAGTGTGTATTAGTACACACACTGTGTATTAGTACACACACTGTGTATTAGTACTGTGTATTAGTACACACACTGTATTAGTACACACTGTATTAGTACACACACTGTGTATTAGTACACACACTGTGTATTAGTACTGTGTATTAGTACACACACTGTGTATTAGTACACACACTGTGTATTAGTTCTGTGTATTAGTACACACACTGTGTATTAGTACACACACTGTGTATTAGTACTGTGTATTAGTACACACACTGTGTATTAGTACACACACTACACACACTGTGTATTAGTACTGTGTATTAGTACACACACTGTGTATTAGTACACACACTGTGTATTAGTACTGTGTATTAGTACACACACTGTGTATTAGTACACACACTACACACACTGTGTATTAGTACTGTGTATTAGTACACACACTGTGTATTAGTACACACACTGTGTATTAGTACACACACTGTGTATTAGTACTGTGTATTAGTACACACACTGTGTATTAGTACACACACTGTGTATTAGTACTGTGTATTAGTACACACACTGTGTATTAGTACTGTGTATTAGTACACACACTGTGTATTAGTACACACACTGTGTATTAGTACTGTGTATTAGTACTGTGTATTAGTACACACACTGTGTATTAGTACTGTGTATTAGTACACACACTGTGTATTAGTACACACACTGTGTATAAGTACTGTGTATTAGTACTGTGTATTAGTACACACACTGTGTATTAGTACACACACTGTGTATTAGTATCAGGGTAAATACTGTCCTACTTGAAGGTAAACATCCTGTAGCTAACGAGCTAACTAGCCAGCTAGCTCGTTAACGGTTGATATGTATGTGCTCGTGGAGCCACAGCTAGCATTAGCTTTGGATTAGCTGTCTTAGTCTTACCTGTTATTGAGTCCGCGGCTGTGTGTCCATGCTAACGTTTCCTCCTCGCTGTGTTCATCAGAACAACAACACTAACGGACGCAGCACCTAGCTGGTTAGCACTGTTAGCGGGCTCCTTTCCACAGGCAGACAACAGCAGAGGAGCTAGCCGCTAAAGCTAGCCGCTAAAGCTAGCTACACAGCAGGAAAACAGCGCTGTTAGCTCGCAGATAAAGCTAGTGAGGCCGCGGCGGTGTTAGCTAGCAGCAGTGTGTGGACTCATTGGTCAACAGACTCACTGCAGACTAAAGTCTCTCATTCTTTAAAGCTTCACTTCAGATAACACAGGCTAACATAGGCTAACACAGGCTAACGGGAGCTAACTGAGACTGACGGCAACTGTTCACAGACGGAACTACAGAGCGAAAACGCGCATGCGCATTAACCTTGAGTATTGTCTGCCAGGTGCCTTCTTCCTGACAGAAAGATGGACAGATATGTAAACATATGTAGACACATGGATAGATATATAAACATATGTAGACACATGGATATATAAACATATATAGACACATGGATATATAAACATATATACCCACATGGATATATAAACATATATAGACACATGGATATATAAACATATAAAGACAGATGGATATATAAACATATATAGACACATGGACAGATATATAAACATATATAGACAGATGGATATATAAACATATATAGACACATGGATATATAAACATATATAGACACATGGATATATAAACATATATAGACACATGGATGTGTAAACATATGTAGACACATGGATATATAAACATATATAGACACATGGATATGTAAACACATGTAGACACATGGATATATAAACATATATAGACACATGGACAGATATATAAACATATATAGACACATGGATATATAAACATATGTAGACACATGGATATATATATATAAACATATATAGACACATGGACAGATATATAAACATATATAGACACATGGATATATAAACATATATAGACACATGGATATATAAACATATGTAGACACATGGACAGATATATAAACATATATAGACACATGGATATATAAACATATATAGACACATGGATATATATATATAAACATATATAGACACATGGACAGATATATAAACATATATAGACACATGGATATATAAACATATATAGACACATGGATATATAAACATATGTAGACACATGGATATATATATAAACATATATAGACACATGGACAGATATATAAACATATATAGACACATGGATATATATATATAAACATATATAGACACATGGACAGATATATAAACATATATAGACACATGGATATATAAACATATATAGACACATGGATATATAAACATATGTAGACACATGGATATATAAACATATATAGACACATGGACAGATATATAAACATATATAGACACATGGATATATAAACATATGTAGACACATGGATATATATATATAAACATATATAGACACATGGACAGATATATAAACATATATAGACACATGGATATATAAACATATATAGACACATGGATATATAAACATATGTAGACACATGGATATATATATAAACATATATAGACACATGGACAGATATATAAACATATATAGACACATGGATATATATATATAAACATATATAGACACATGGACAGATATATAAACATATATAGACACATGGATATATAAACATATATAGACACATGGATATATAAACATATGTAGACACATGGATATATATATAAACATATATAGACACATGGACAGATATATAAACATATATAGACACATGGATATATAAACATATATAGACACATGGATATATAAACATATGTAGACACATGGATATATATATAAACATATATAGACAGATGGATATATAAACATATATAGACACATGGATATATAAACATATATAGACACATGGACATATAAACATATATAGAGATATGGATATATAAACATATATAGACACATGGATATATAAACATATATAGACACATGGATATATAAACATATGTAGACACATGGATATATATATAAACATATATAGACAGATGGATATATAAACATATGTAGACACATGGATATATAAACATACATAGACACATGGACATATAAACATATATAGAGATATAGATATATAAACATATATAGACACATGGATAGATATATAAACATATATAGACACATGGATATATATAAACATATATAGACACATGGACAGATATATAAACATATATAGACACATGGATATATAAACATATATAGACACATGGATATATAAACATATATAGACACATGGATATATAAACATATAGACACATGGATATATAAACATATATAGACACATGGATAGATATATAAACATATAGACACATGGATATATAAACATATATAGACATATGGATATATAAACATATGTAGACACATGGATAGATATATAAACATATGTAGACACATGGATATATAAACATATATAGACACATGGATATATAAACATATATAGACACATGGATATATAAACATATGTAGACACATGGATATATATATAAACATATATAGACAGATGGATATATAAACATATATAGACACATGGATATATAAACATATATAGAGATATGGATATATAAACATATATAGACACATGGATATATAAACATATGTAGACACATGGATAGATATATAAACATATATAGACACATGGGTATATAAACATATATAGACACATGACATACAGACAGAGAGACAAACAGACAGTATTGGCAATGGCAATCTAGCAGAAAGAGAGGAAGAGAGGAGCTCAGTGCACCATGGGAAATCCCCCGATAGTCTAGGCCTATAGCAGCATAACTAAGGGATAGTTCAGGACTCACCTGATCCAGCCCTAACTATAAGCTTTATCAAAGAGGAATGTCTTAAGCCTACTCTTGAATGTGGTGAGGGTGTCTGCCTCCCGAACCACAACTGGAAGCTGGTTCCACAGGAGAGGAGCTTGGTAACTGAAGGCCCTGGCTCCTGTTCTACTTTTAGAGACTATAGGAACCACAAGTAGCCCAGCATTCAGAGAACGTAGTGTTCTAGAGGGGTAATAGGGTACTATGAGCTCTTTAAGATATGAAGGGGCCTGACCATGAAGAGCTTTATAGGTGAGGAGGAGGATTTTAAATTCTATTCTACATTTTACAGGGAGCCAGTGCAGAGAAGCTAGTACAGGAGAGATGTGATCTCTTTTTCTAGTTCCTGTCAGTACTCGTGCTGCAGCGTTCTGAATTAATTGGAGCGTTTTAATGGACTTATTGGGGCAACCTGATAATAAAGAGTTGCAGTAATCCAGCCTTGAAGTAACAAATGCATGGATTAGTTTTTCTGCATCTGTCTGTGATAGGATGTGTCTAATTTTTCTAATATTACGTAAATGAAAGAAGGCGGTCCTAGAGGTCTGCTTTATGTGGGAGTTAAATGACAAATCCTGATCAAAGATAACTCCAAGATTCCTGACAGTGGTGCTAGAGGCCAAGTTAATGCCATCTAGAGTGACTATATCTTTAGACAATGAGTCTCTAAGGTTTTTGGGGCCAAGAACAAGAATTTCGTTTTTTTCTGAGTTTAACATCAGAAAATTGCAGCTCATCCAGGATTTTATGTCCTTAAGACATGTTTGTAATTTAGATAAGTGATTAATTTCATTGGGTTTGATTGATAGATATAACTGTGTATCATCTGCATAACAGTGAAAGTTAATGGAGTGATTCCTAATAATGTTGCCTAAAGGGAGCATATATAAAGTAAATAGTATTGGTCCAAGTACAGAACCTTGTGGAACTCCATGACTAACTGTAGTATTTATTGAAGATTCATCATTAACATGTACAAACTGCGAGCGATCTGATAAATATGACTTAAACCAGCTTAGTGCAGTTCCTTTAATGCCAATTTGATGCTCACGTCTCCCCAAAAGAATATTATGGTCAATGGTGTCAAATGCAGCACTAAGATCTAATAATACAAGTACAGAGACAAGTCCATTGTCAGAAGCAATCAGAAGGTCATTATTAACTTTAACCAGAGCTGTCTCTGTGCTATGATGAACTCTAAATCCTGACTGAAAATCCTCAAATAAACTATTGTTATGTAGAAAGTCACACAACTCTTTGGCGACTACCTTCTCCAGAATCTTAGAGAGGAAGGGGGAGGTTAGAAATCGGTCTATAGTTGGCTAAAACCCCTGGGTCAAGAGTGGGCTTTTTTAAGAAGGGGTTTAATTACAGCTACTTTAAAGGACTGTGGTACATATCCTGATAATAAAGAAAGATTAATCATATCCAGTAAAGAAGTGCCAATTAAGGGAACAACTTCTTTAAGCAGCCTAGTTGGGATCGGGTCTAACAGACAGGTTGATGGCTTCGATGAAGAAATGATTGAAGTTAACTGATGAAGATCGATAGCAGAAAAACAGTCTAAATATATATCTAAGTTTACATTGACAGAAGTCCCTGAACTTGGAGAGCCACTGATAACTGTTGATGGCAGTTGGTGATTAATTTTTTCTCTAATAGTAATAATTTTATTATAGAAGAAGCTCATGAAGTCATTGCTACTTAAGTTTATGGGGATATGTGGCTCAATAGAGCTGTGACTCTCTGTCAGCCTGGCTACAGTGCTGAAGAGGAACCTAGGGTTATTCTTATTTTCTTCTATTAGTGCTGAGTAATAGGCTCCTCTGGCATTACGGAGGGCCTTTCTATAAGTCTTAAGATTATCTTACCAATTTGAGCGATATTCTGATAATTTGGAAGAGCGCCATTTCCTTTCAGATTTCCTAGCTATTTGTTTTAACTGGCGGGTTTGGTGGTTATACCAAGGTGCTAGTCTCCTATGTTTTAATAATTTCCTTTTTGTAGGAGTCTAATGTTGATCGTAGTGAGCCTGTAGCACTATCGACAAGATTATCAATTTCAGAGGGACTAAAGTTATTATAGGACTCTGTTAAATTCAGACATGGCATTGAATTAAACACTGAAGGAATCTCCTCCTTAAATTTAGCTACAGCACTGTCAGATAGACATCTGCTGTAGGACGTTTTGCCTAATGGCTTATAATCTAATAGTATGAATTCAAAAGTTATTAAATAATGGTCAGATAGAAAACAATTATGTGGGATGACTATTAAATGTTCAGTACCAATGCAATATGAAAGAAAAAGGTCAAGAGTGTGATTAAAACAATGAGTTGGTTTATTTACACTCTGACAGAAGCCAATTGAGTCTATTAATGATATAAATGCGTTACTAAGGCTGTCATTGTCAACATCGACATGAATATTAAAATCACGTACAATAATTACTTTATCTGATTTAAGGACTAAACTTGATAGAAACTCTGAAAATTCAGATATAAAATCAGAGTACGGTCCAGGAGCGCAGTACACTATAACAAATAGAACTGGCTGCAGTGTTTTCCAGTTTGGGTGAGAAAGACTAAGAACAAGGCTTTCAAATGAATTATAATTTAGTTTAGGTTTAGGGTCCATTAAAACGCTCGAATCATATATGGCTGCTACTCCACCTCCTCGGCCTGTGCCTCGAGGAATGTGAGTATTAATATGACTGGGGGGGTGGATTCATTTAGGCTAACATACTCCTCGTGGGACAACCAGGTCTCAGTAAGACAAAGTAAATCAATATCGTAATCTGATATTAATTCATTCACTAAAACAGCTTTAGAGGACAGAGACCTGATATTTAACAGCCCACATTTCATTCTCTTATTTTGTGCTACTGAGGAGCTGGTTTTAATTTTTATTAGATTTTTATGTTGAACTCCTCTTGTTTTTATTTCTTTAAATAATTTAGGTGGTTGGGGGACAGACACAGTCTCTATGGGGTTTTGGTTGGGTGACTGTTCTAAAGAAAGCGCAGAGAAGTGTGTAAGACAGCAGCTCTGCTTCCTGGTCCCAACTAAGTGTTTGTGTTATTTTGTCTACCCCCTTTATACCTAAAATAAAGGTAAAATAAATAATAAACTATATCGATGAGGCTGAATAACAGGAGTGCATGTTAGTACAAAACTACACAGTTTAATATTAATAAGAAATTATGTTCATAAAGTAAAATGTATTTTCCACAATATGTTTTAAAATCCATCATCAGCTCAGAATGTTTGTTTTATATATATATATAGTGCTTCTACTGTATCTTCACATAAAGATGGTCTTTATTGAGGTTATCAGATAATATCTATATATATATATAATAATATCTCTGTGTGCTTTTATATATATATATAATAATATCTCTGTGTGCTTTTATATATATAACGTTATATAATAATATCTCTGTGTGCTTTTATATATATATATAATAATATCTCTGTGTGCTTTTATATATATAACGTTATATAATAATATCTCTGTGTGCTTTTATATATATATATAATAATATCTCTGTGTGCTTTTATATATATATATAATAATATCTCTGTGTGCTTTTATATATATATATATAATAATATCTCTGTGTGCTTTTATATATATATATATAATAATATCTCTGTGTGCTTTTATATATATATATAATAATATCTCTGTGTGCTTTTATATATATATATAATAATATCTCTGTGAGTGGCTCCTACTGTTGAACCTCAAACACTCTGCTCAGGTTGGTATGGTACCTGTGCAGTAGAGGCTGTCCAGCGGCGCCAGTCAGATAAACTAAACTACAGTGTAAGAGAGTTGACATAAATACTGTACACATTATTAAAACATGTTAGAAAACTTTATACAACAAATCAGACGGAGACTGAACGTTTGATCAGAGCTTTTACAGTTGTATTTTATTATTTTACAGGCACAGGCACATGTAGAGACAGGCCTATGCGCTGCGGGGTCCTGATGTGTTCTTACTGAATGAACGGTTTGTTTGTTAGCCAGGCAGCTAACATACTAACCGTTAAATGTATTATTCTACTCAACAGACACTGATTTATTTTATGTCTTTTATTTTAAAGGGTTAAAGTTCATCATTTGTCAACAAAGCGGATTTATTTTATTTTAAATCTGCGTCACGAGCTGAAAGCGAAGCTAGGTAAGCTAACGTTAGCTAGCGGCTAACTGACAGTAATGCATTTCAAAGGTTTAATAACTTATTAACATAATAAAATACAGCTAACTGCTCCCTGTTGACTGTATTAACTACTGTTTACTGTTTACTGTTGACTGTATTAACTACTGTTTACTGTTTACTGTTGACTGTATTAACTACTGCTCCCTGTTGACTGTTTACTGTTTACTGTATTAACTACTGTTTACTGTATTACTGTATTACTGTTTACTGTATTACTGTTGACTGTTTACTGTATTACTGTTTACTGTTTACTGTATTACTGTTGACTGTATTACTGTTGACTGTTTACTGTATTACTGTTTACTGTATTACTGTTGACTGTTTACTGTTTACTGTTTACTGTATTCTCACAGGAGCTGTTAGAAGCTGCAGCCACTGAGGGAGGAGGAGTAACCATAGCAACAGGAGGTTGGAATATACTTCATTCATTACAAACAAACATTTTACTGCAGTAAAAGTACTCAATATGTTTCAATATTATCATTATTTACACTTTACATACATTTATGCTGTTTAATCTGCAATCTTTAGACGTCACTTCCGGTTTGAACACCTCCAGGCCTCAAGCTGATTCTTCTTCTGTGGTAAAATCATGGAACTGGCATACGTGTGTGAGTGGGAGAAACGTCCTAAGAGCACTCACTGTCCCTCCATCCCTCTGGTCTGCTCCTGGTCCTGCAGGAACCTTGTGGCCTTCACCACAGACCTGAAGAACGAGGACGACGACAAAGGTACACGGCTACAGACACAGCACAGACACAGCTACAGCACGGACACAGCTACAGCACGGACACAGCTACAGCACGGACACAGCTACAGCACAGACACACACAGCTACAGCACAGACACAGACACAGCTACAGCACAGACACAGCTACAGACACAGCTACAACACAGACACAGCTACAGACACAGCTACAGCACAGCTACAGACACAGACACAGCACAGACACAGCTACAGCACGGACACAGACACAGCTACAGCACAGACACAGCTACAGCACGGACACAGACACAGCTACAGCACAGACACAGCTACAGCACAGACACACACAGCTACAGCACAGACACACACAGCTACAGCACGGACACAGCTACAGACACAGCTACAGCAGAGACACAGCTACAGCACAGACACAGCTACAGCAGAGACACAGACACAGCTACAGACACAGCTAAAGCACAGACACAAACACAGCTACAGCACAGGTACAGCACAGACACAGCTACAGCACGGACACAACTACAGCAGAGACACAGATACAGCACAGACACAGACACAGCTACAGACACAGCTACAGACACAGCTACAGCACAGCTACAGACACAGCTACAGCACAGACACAAACACAGCTACAGCACAGACACAGCTACAGACACAGCTACAACACAGACACAGCTACAGACACAGCTACAGCACAGCTACAGCACAGCTACAGACACAGCTACAACACAGACACAGCTACAGCACAGCTACAGCACAGCTACAGACACAGCTACAACACAGACACAGCTACAAACACAGCTACAGCACAGCTACAGACACAGCACAGACACAGCTACAGCACGGACACAGACACAGCTACAGCACAGACACAGCTACAGCACGGACACAGACACAGCTACAGCACAGACACAGCTACAGCACAGACACACACAGCTACAGCACAGACACACACAGCTACAGCACGGACACAGCTACAGACACAGCTACAGACACAGCTACAGCAGAGACACAGCTACAGACACAGCTACAGACACAGCTACAGCAGAGACACAGCTACAGCACAGACACAGCTACAGCAGAGACACAGACACAGCTACAGACACAGCTACAGCACAGACACAAACACAGCTACAGCACAGGTACAGCACAGACACAGCTACAGCACGGACACAGCTACAGCAGAGACACAGATACAGCACAGACACAGCTACAGCACGAACACAGACACAGCTACAGCACAGACACAGACACAGCTACAGCACGGACACAGCTACAGACACAGCTACAGCAGAGACACAGCTACAGCACAGACACAGCTACAGCAGAGACACAGACACAGCTACAGACACAGCTACAGCACAGACACAAACACAGCTACAGCACAGACACAGACACAAACACAGCTACAGCACAGACACAGCTACAGACACAGCTACAGACACAGCTACAGCACAGCTACAGACACAGCTACAGCACAGACACAAACACAGCTACAGCACAGACACACACACAGACACAGCTACAGCACAGACGCAGCTACAGCACAGACACAGACACAGCACACACACACCTACAGCACACACACAGGCACAGCTACAGCACGGACGCAGCTACAGCACGGACGCAGCTACAGCACAGACACAGACACAGCGACAGCACGTACACAGACACAGCTACAGCACAGACACAGCTACAGCACAGACACAGACACAGCTACGACACAGACACAGCTACAGCACGGACACAGACACAGCTACAGCCTGGACACAGACACAGCTACAGCACAGACACAGCTACAGCACAGACACAGCTACAGCACAGACACACACAGCTACAGCACAGACACACACAGCTACAGCACGGACACAGCTACAGACACAGCTACAGCAGAGACACAGCTACAGCACAGACACAGCTACAGCAGAGACACAGACACAGCTACAGACACAGCTACAGCACAGACACAAACACAGCTACAGCACAGGTACAGCACGGACACAGCTACAGCACGGACACAGCTACAGCAGAGACACAGATACAGCACAGACACAGCTACAGCAGAGACACAGCTACAGCAGAGACACATACACAGCTACAGACACAGCTACAGCACGAACACAGACACAGCTACAGCACAGACACAGCTACAGCACGGACACAGCTACAGCAGAGACGCAGCTACAGCACAGACACAGCTACAGCAGAGACACAGACACAGCTACAGACACAGCTACAGCACAGACACAAACACAGCTACAGCACAGACACAGACACAGCTACAGCACAGACACAGACACAAACACAGCTACAGCACAGACACAGCTACAGCACAGACACAAACACAGCTACAGCACAGACACAGACACAGCTACAGCACAGACACACACAGACACAGCTACAGACACAGCTACAACACAGACACAGCTACAGACACAGCTACAGACACAGCTACAACACAGACACAGCTACAGCACAGACACAAACACAGCTACAGCACAGACACACACACAGACACAGCTACAGCACAGACGCAGCTACAGCACAGACGCAGCTACAACACAGACACAGCTACAGCACAGACACACCTACAGCACACACACAGCTACAGCACGAACACAGACACAGCTACATCACAGACGCAGCTACAGCACGGACGCGGACACAGCGACAGCACGGACACAGACACAGCTACAGCACAGACACAGACACAGCACAGACACAACTACAGCACGGACACAGCTACAGCACGGACACAGACACAGCTACAGCACAGACACAGACACAGCTACAGCACGGACACAGCTACAGACACAGCTACAGCAGAGACACAGCTACAGCACAGACACAGCTACAGCAGAGACACAGACACAGCTACAGCACAGACACAAACACAGCTACAGCACAGACACAGACACAAACACAGCTACAGCACAGACACAGCTACAGACACAGCTACAGCACAGCTACAGACACAGCTACAGCACAGACACAAACACAGCTACAGCACAGACACACACACAGACACAGCTACAGCACAGACGCAGCTACAGCACAGACACACCTACAGCACACACACACCTACAGCACACACACAGACACAGCTACAGCACGGACGCAGCTACAGCACGGACGCAGCTACAGCTACAACACAGACACAGCGACAGCACGTACACAGACACAGCTACAGCACAGACACAGCTACAGCACAGACACAGACACAGCTATGACACAGACACAGCTACAGCACAGACACAAACACAGCTACAGCACAGACACAGACACAGCTACAGCACAGACACACACAGACACAGCTACAGACACAGCTACAACACAGACACAGCTACAGACACAGCTACAGCACAGCTACAGACACAGCTACAACACAGACACAGCTACAGCACAGACACAAACACAGCTACAGCACAGACACACACACAGACACAGCTACAGCACAGACGCAGCTACAGCACAGACGCAGCTACAACACAGACACAGCTACAGCACAGACACACCTACAGCACACACACAGCTACAGCACGAACACAGACACAGCTACATCACAGACGCAGCTACAGCACGGACGCGGACACAGCGACAGCACGGACACAGACACAGCTACAGCACAGACACAGCTACAGCACAGACACAGCTACAGCACGGACACAGCTACAGCACGGACACAGACACAGCTACAGCACAGACACAGACACAGCTACAGCACAGACACAGCTACAGCAGAGACACAGACACAGATACAGTCCGAACACAGCTACAGCCCGAACACAGACACAGCTACAGCACAGACACAGCTACAGCACAGACACAGCTACAGCACAGGCACAGACACAGACACAGCTACAGCAGAGACACAGCTACAGCACAGACACAGCTACAGCAGAGACACAGCTACAGACACAGCTACAGCACAGACACAGCTACAGCACAGACACAGCTACAGCACAGACACAAACACAGCTACAGCACAGACACAAACACAGCTACAGCACAGACACACACATACACAGCTACAGACACAGCTACAGCACAGACACAGCTACAGCACAGCTACAGACACAGCTACAACACAGACACAGCTACAGCACAGACACAAACACAGCTATAGCACAGACACACACAGACACAGCTACAGCACAGACACACCTACAGCACACACACAGCTACAGCACAGACGCAGCTACAGCACAGACGCAGCTACAACACAGACGCAGCTACAGCACAGACACACCTACAGCACACACACAGCTACAGCACGAACACAGACGCAGCTACAGCACAGACGCAGCTACAGCACAGACGCAGCTACAGCACGGACGCTGCTACAGCACGGACGCAGACACACCTACAGCACGGACGCTGCTACAGCACGGACGCAGACACACCTACAGCACAGACACAGCTACAGCAGAGACACAGCTACAGCAGAGACACAGACACAGCTACAGCACAGACACAGCTACAGCACGGACACAGACACAGCTACAGCACGGACACAGACACAGCTACAGCACAGACACAACACAGACACAGCTACAGACACAGCTACAGCACAGACACAGCTACAGCACGGACACAGACACAGCTACAGCACGGACACAGACACAGCTACAGCACAGACACAACACAGACACAGCTACAGACACAGCTACAGCACAGCTACAGACACAGCTACAACACAGACACAGCTACAGCAGAGACACAGCTACAGCACAGACACAGCTACAGCAGAGACACAGACACAAACACAGCTACAGCACAGACACAGCTACAGCACAGACACAGCTACAGACACAGCTACAGCAGAGACACAGCTACAGCAGAGACACAGCTACAGCAGAGACACAGCTACAGCACAGACACAGCTACAGCACAGACACAAACACAGCTACAGCACAGACAGACACAGACACAGCTACAGCACAGACACAGCTACAGCACGGACACACACATACACAGCTACAGCACAGACACACACATACACAGCTACAGCACAGACACACACATACACAGCTACAGACACAGCTACAGCACAGACACAGCTACAGCACAGCTACAGACACAGCTACAACACAGACACAGCTACAGCACAGACACAAACACAGCTATAGCACAGACACACACAGACACAGCTACAGCACAGACACACCTACAGCACACACACAGCTACAGCACAGACGCAGCTACAGGCCAGCAGCTACAACACAGACGCAGCTACAGCACAGGCGCAGCTACAACACAGACGCAGCTACAGCACGACACACCTACAGCACACACACAGCTACAGCACGAACACAGACGCAGCTACAGCACAGACGCAGCTACAGCACAGACGCAGCTACAGCACGGACGCTGCTACAGCACGGACGCAGACACACCTACAGCACAGACACAGCGACAGCACGGACACAGACACAGCTACAGCACAGACACAGCTACAGCACAGACAGACACAGCTACAGCACGGACACAGCTACAGCACGGACACAGCTACAGCACGGACACAGCTACAGCAGAGACACAGCTACAGCAGAGACACAGACACAGCTACAGCACAGACACAGCTACAGCACGGACACAGACACAGCTACAGCACGGACACAGACACAGCTACAGCACAGACACAACACAGACACAGCTACAGACACAGCTACAGCACAGCTACAGACACAGCTACAACACAGACACAGCTACAGCAGAGACACAGCTACAGCACAGACACAGCTACAGCAGAGACACAGACACAAACACAGCTACAGCACAGACACAGCTACAGCACAGACACAGCTACAGCTACAGACACAGCTACAGCAGAGACACAGCTACAGCAGAGACACAGCTACAGCACAGACACAGCTACAGACACAGCTACAGCACAAACACAGCTACAGCACAGACACAAACACAGCTACAGCACAGACACAGACACAGCTACAGCACAGACAAAGCTACAGCACGGACACAGCTACAGCACGGACACAGCTACAGCACAGACACAGCTACAGCACAGACACACACAGCTACAGACACAGCTACAACACAGACACAGCTACAGACACAGCTACAGCACAGCTACAGACAGAGCTACAACACAGACACAGCTACAGCACCGACACAAACACAGCTACAGCACAGACACACACAGACACAGCTACAACACACGCACAGCTACAACACGAACGCAGACGCAGCTACAGCACGGACGCAGCTACAGCACGGACGCAGACACAGCGACAGCACGGACACTGACACAGCTACAGCACAGTCACAGCTACAGCACAGACAGACACAGCTACAGCAGAGACACAGCTACAGCACAGACACAGACACAGCTACAGCACAGACACAGCTACAGCAGAGACACAGACACAGCTACAGCAGAGACACAGCTACAGACACAGCACAGACACAAACACAGCTACAGCACAGACACAGCTACAGCACAGACAGACACAGCTACAGCACAGACGCAGCTACAGCACGGAAGCAGCTACAGCACAGGCAGCTACAGCACGGACACAGCTACAGCACGGACGCAGACACACCTACAGCACAGAGACAGCGACAGCACGGACACGGACACAGCTACAGCAGAGACACAGCTACAGCAGAGACACA